ACACCTACTTTGAGTGTGAAGATCAAACACCAGTACTGTAAAAAACAAAAACAAAAAAGGCAGAGAAAAGGAATATAGTTGAGATCAATGAATATGAGTGCTTACATGAACTTGCACATAGCCTCCTTTCCTCTTTCTCTCATTTTCTCCTCTCTCTATCTCTCTCCTTCCCTCCCTCTCCCCCCTCCCTCTCCCCCCTCCCTCCTGCCTCAGAATCTCAAGTGTTTTCTTAAGGAAGAAAGATTAAGTACTGGGGCAGTAATCGTGCAGAGAATGGTATTATTCATAACAAATCTTGTGTAACCTTTTAACTCTTTTTGCTATGTACTTTTATCAAAGGATAAAGGCAGAACTTTTAAAAGATTAATTCAAAGTGAATACAAGAAAATACGTAGCATCTGCTGCCACACATATTAAAATTATTTTTTTAATAAGAATTTTAAGACAGGATTTCTAGAAACACCCACTTAATCAAGTAGATCAGAAAGGATTGAAGGAGATGGGAGCAATGGAATGAGCCAGAAAGTCAGGAATATGTATTTTCAGAAAAATTTAGACCAAAAAGTTGCACAGGCCTGAACAGAGCAGTTGAGCTGATCCTAAGGTTTGTTGGTCCAGAGAGCAGACCATACAGAGGAGAAAGGCAGGAGAGAAGCTGTAAGCACAAATGAAAACAGTGTATTAGGTATCTGTTCACTGTTTTAGTAAGGATTCCTTTTTCTGCTTGTTTCTATATCCCAAGTTTCCTCTTGTTATCTGAATGTCAAAAATAACTGGATGCTGTTAATTCCTTTCATATCCCATTCTAAGATCCTAAAAGCCAAAGCAGTTTTCCCATAGATTTCACCTGGAGTTTTGTCAGCTTCCTGCCGATAGTCAGGAAAGGCTTCTGCCGGCCCATGCTTTGACCTGGCCTCCTTGTTTGACTTTCTCCTGAAAAGATCACTTGCAAAATTCAGTTATAATAAAGCATACCTTGAGTTCAAGGTTGTGGCCAAAGGAGGGGTTTCACACATAACACGTAACAGTTATTGAATGGCTGGTTCTGGCGATATGCTAGACATTGAAAACTCAGATCAGAGGAAGTTTGACTCATTTGTAATAAAACCTTTCCTGATATCTTTATTAATATTTAAGCCATAAAATGTTTACCTTATGTATTCAGAATGAAATATAATAGGACAAGAATAAAGGGACACAAACTGAGCACTAGGGGCTCACGTCTGTAATCCTAGCTACTCAGGAGGTTGAAATAAACAAACACAAAAATGAAGTCTTCTGTCAGAATCACAGCATGTGAGGATAAGATTGAAATGCCTGACTTTTAATCTGCTATGTCACTTTTTTAGGTCTGTGACTGCTTAATACCTAACTACTGATTGGGTTAAAGGTTAATACAGATCAGTGAGTTATCACCCCAGAATTATCTTTGCTTCTTTGTCTATAATACTTGGGTGGAAATTTCTTTTGTTGAAAATCTGAAGTGGAGAAAAGTCTACATTTAACATTTTCCTCTTCCAGAATGGCCAAGGACTCAAGGTATCTTGATCACTATCTTTTTGTCTGTGTGGGATAATTTGGAATTTAACTGCTCATGTTAGCAGGTGCTATGCTGTGTCCTGACCATTACATTAGGCTGAATCCCCAGAGTCTCTTGGAGAGGGAAAAGACTTCATGGCGGTTTTCATTCAGAGAATTCCTAAATGAAACGCAAAGGTATAGTTTTATTCATGCTAAAAAAAGATCTTGCACTAGGTTGAACTGAATTGGCATAGCTTTTAAGCTGAAATGTCTCAGGGCTTGCTGCCCTGCCTTTCATCATTTATCAATTCCAGATCTGCTGAGACACAGCTGGCTTTCAGTTACCCGTGGCATCTGCTCAGCAGAGCTCACCTGAGCAGCTGAAAGGTAGAAACAATCTTGGGAGCCCCTTTTTCATCATTTGCAATAGCTTCCTCCTAGAAAATGGCAACATTTAAATCACTACCATTTTGTTCCCTTTCTCTCCCCTTGCCAGGCATCTGCAGGCAGCAAAGTGACCAAGTAAGTTCTACAATCTGTGTGAAGTCCTAGGAGCCCACTTCCAGCCAGTCCACTTTCCATGGCATGATTGCAGTCAATGGCCTTCATTTCTACATCTCCTCTTTGTTGTTTCTTTAGCTTTTATTTATTTATTATTTATTAATTTTTTTTGTCGGTCATGGGCTTGAACTCTGGGCTTGGGCACTGTCCCTCAGCTCTGCAGCTCAACACAAGCGCTCTACTGCTTGAGCCACAGCACCACTTCTGGTTTTCGAGTGGTTTATTGGAGATAAGATTCTCACTTGAACCCCAAGATAAGTATTCAAATGATTTTTTCTTTCATGCGCTTGTTTCTAACATATTTATAAGATTATTTCTTTGTTGCTTTGTATGTTCCTCCCCCTCGGTATAACCCCTGCTTTCACTGTATTTGATGTTGGTATAATTTGTGGAGGGGAAGGGAAAAAACAAATTCTTTAAATAGGGATACAGGTGGACCCATTGCAAGATGTACAAGTCGTTATGTCAAAAAAAGAACTTTACGGGGCTGGGAAGGTGGCTCAGTGGTAGAGTGCTTGCCTTGTATGCTCGAGGCCCTGGGTTCGATTCCTCAGCACCACATAAGCAAAAAGAAAAAAGCCGGAAGTGGCGCTTTGGCTCAAGTGGTAGAACGCTAGCCTTGAGCTGAAGAGCTGAGGGACAGTGCCCAGGCCCAGAGTACAGGCCCCACGGCAGGACCCCCCCAAAAAAAGAACTTTACAAGTTTGGGGGGGGAAGGATTGAGTAAAGGGGGTGGGGCAATGGGAAGGGATGGGAAGGGAAACATAGGAGGAGGCAACAATGCTTGATAAGAAATGTACTCATTATCTTGCCCATGTAATTGTAACCCCTCTGTAAAAATAAAAAAATAAAAAAAATAATTAAAAAAAAAAAGAGTCTGACAGACTTTCCCACCTGAGCTGGCTTTGAACCACTGATCCTCCTGAGTAGCTAGGATTACAGGTGTGAGCCACTGGTGCCCAGCTAGCTTTTATTTTTAAATCTGTTTCAAGATTTCTTTTTGCTATATGTTAAGCATCTGATCACCTTATCTCTTTTTGAATGGAAGGGCCAAAACTGTGGCTAATTTATCATGATCTCGTTCAAAACCAGGAAGGATTATAGTCCAAAATTTGCCAAATCAAATAGGTCTTAAATAGTCCTGAGCAGTTCCTTCTGGGACTCCCAAAAACCCTATGGGGGAAAGATCAGGCTGAAGGAAACCACTGTTGTTGTTAGTTTGCATTGTTTGGGCCTTTGTTTTTCTTTTTGAGGTACATGAATGATATGAACAACTAAAAGTGAAAATTAAGTAAGAAAAATATAAATAATAATCTCATCTGTTTATATCTGAAATTGTTACTTTAGGATCTAGTTTTATTTGCCCTATTCTATAAAATAAACATTTTAAAAATAAAATCTATTATATTCATTCAACTGTTCCTTTTTAGAGGTACTGGAGATTGAACTCAGGGTATTTCAGTGCTCTCCTAGTTGCGTTTTGTCTCCAGTTCCTTTTTTTTCCCCTTATTTTCAAGTTTTATCCTTGGTTTATCCTTGGTTATTTTCACTTTTAAGTCCTGACTGTCGTACCATCCTCCTACTTTTATTTCCTCAGTGTTGTTGTGAAGGACAGGTACACACCACTACACCCAGTCATTGTTTTCTCTCATAATGGGAGCAACAATCTTGGGACTCTAGGCCCAGCCACTGGGTGAGATGAAGTCTCTAGAACTTACTTTTGCCTGAACTGGCTTCTAACCTTCATTCTTATATCTCTTCCACCTAAATAACTACAATTACGGGTTTGAGCCACTGTACTTGGTTTCCCAATTATTCTTATTTGCTCATATTTAAGAAAATAACATGCAATATCCAATCCCTATGAATCCAATACCTTCAATTTAGCTTCACTTGAAAGACTTTTATATATTTTAATTATCTTTTCTTATTAATAACTTTTTTATTGTGAAAATACTTACAGAGGGGTTACAATCACATGAGCAAGGAAATGAGTACCTTTCTTTTTTTTTTTTGGTCGGTCGTGGGGCTTGAACTCTAGACCTGGGCGCTGTCCCTCAGCTCTTCAGCTCAAGGCGAGCGCTCTACCACTTGAGCTACAGCGCCACTTCCGGTTTTCTGGTGGTTTATTGGAGATAGGAGTCTCACGGTCTCTCCTGCCCGGGCTGGCTTTGAACCGCGATCCTCAGATCTCAGCCTCCTGAATAGCTAGGATTACAGGCGTGAGCCACCAGCGCCCAGCTATGAGTACCTTTCTTATCAAGCATTGTTACCTCCTCCTTTGTTTCCCCTTACCATCCCTGCCCTCCCATCTCTCCTCCCACCCCCACCCCCTTTTTATTATCTTCAGTTAATCAAAGGAGTTGCCATGCAACAAAGCAGTTTATGAATATAATCCATCTTGATCAATATCATCATCTTCATCATTCTCCTGCATCCCTCCCAACCCTATTCCTTCCTTGAATTTTTCTTAATTTTCTACGATATGCATTGACTTTTGTGACTGAATTCTCCCCAACCTTCTTCTCTTCACTCATCTACCTTTCTCCCCTTGACCCCTACCTCCTTTTGGAAATTCTGTTTAGAACTGTTTCACATAGAGTTACAGCCTGTTAAAGAAACAGGAGGCCACTGGCCTGAGACTGGGCTGGTATATTATGTTTCCACATAGAATAATTACAACATGAGTACAAAAATATAACAAAGCTTAACTTAGGAGTATATTTTGTTGGGCAGATAGCTGGGTCTCTGCCAATCACAGGCAGCCTCGCTTTCACTAGTCACAGGCTATCATAGACTATGGTCAAATTCTGATAAGCTCAGTTATAATCAATCCAACTATTTTGTCCTTTTCTTCCACAAACTGCTCTCTGAACCTCCTCAGATTTGAGCGTGGCCCATATATGAATCTTTTAATGTCCAAGTGAGTTCTGCTTAATTTATTTTGTCTAAACTTTTTCTTTTATCAAGTCATTAATGGAAACAGAGAAGGGTAATGTAAAGGTTGAACCAATACACAATGTTAATCTCAATGCCACTATTTAAGTAGGAATGCAAAAGGTGCCCTGGGAACTGGTGGCTCACTCCCATAATCCTAACAACTCATGGAGCTGAGATCTGAGGATCATGGTTCAGTCAACCTGCACAAGAAAGACTTTTACCTCCAATAAACTACAATAAAAAAAATTAGAAGTAGAAATGTGGCTCAAGTGGTAGAACATTAGCCAGGAGCAAAAAGAGCTCAGAATGGTACCCAGGCCCTGATTTCAAGTCTTAGGACCAGTACACAACACACACACACACAATTAATTAATTTTAAAAGGAGTGCCACATTCTGACTTGAAATTTAGAGAACCATTGTGAAAACCATATTTCCATTAACTTCATGATGAAGTGCATAACTAACTAATCAAATCTGAGAGATCCAAATAAGTATAGGTGAAAAGATAAACATATTAATACTTATTCGAGTTAATATTTCTTTGTCTTAGTTTTCTTTATCTAGCACATAGGAAGAAAATCCAATAGAGACTTATTTTAAAGTCTCTTAACAGTAGTTTTTGTCTTTTGGATATTCTGTTATGAATACATTTGTTTTGAAGTGGTACTAGAGCCATTATTTCTCTTTTTTCTAGAATAAAGGTATTCGTTGATTTTTATTTTTTCTGGCAGTACTTTGTATTTCAGATGGGGTCTTATTCTTTACTTCACTGGCCAGCCTCAAACTGAGATCCTTTTACTTCCACCTCCTGAATAGCTGTGATTACAGAAATGAACTAACACACTCACTTTGTAAGCTGATTTTTTAAACAAAGTTTATGCTCATTTATTGTAACTATTAACTCTGATTCTCTACCTCTCCCTTTACAGCTATTACAAACTGAAATGTCAACAGGGACCAGAAAGAAAAATACTTGAAGAAGATTAAAAGTTGAAGAGAACACGGGAGGGAGAAGCTTCCACTAGACTTTTGTATTTAATTTCCAGAGCAAAACCACACCACAGTACAGGTCATCATAACATATCTTCAGGTCAGGTTCATCATGCACTCATTCATTTGCTGACCTTAAAACACTACATACAAATCTTCTCAGAAAGAGAAAGAGAAGAAATAAGAGAAAAGAAAGAGAGAGAAAATAAACAAAATCAAGCTGAGTCATTTTATGAAGTACCACAACTTATTCATTCTTGCTTGATACCTGAGGAAAACCTTTGGCGCCTAAAAGGTGAATAACCCATGTTAATTAATACAAAAGCCACCTAACTTAGAGGAGCAGGTAATAAAGGATTAAAAGGCTATCCCTATAAATTAACAAGGTCACAGAACTTTGCTTGTTTAAGTTTACAAAATATACATGCATCATAAGAAAATATATTTTCGTACATCCCAATATTTGAAAATTAATCAAGTTTTTAAAATAGTAAGCTATTATAAATGATAACTTGCCTACATATGATACTGAGATATATAAAGCAGAGCAAATCTGAAAATCTAGTAATTTATTCCCACAATAATCTCTTATATAGAAATCAATATTCTATTTCTGCAGTGAAAAGATGCAGAAATTCCTTTAGTTTAATTTGGTTTAAGCACTGGGCAATATATTACAGCCAATAGTTGTAAACTTATGAAATACAAAAGGCATCATTATAAGTAATATGAATATGCAAGTAGAAGTACAAAGAATACTAATGGATCCCAGAAAGATTTATTAGGGATTTTTTTTCTATTTTGTTCTCTGATGTTCACTTCTCAAATATTTTGCTAAATTTCCTGCCCTTCACTTACCCATAGAGGTAACTTTGAAATTTTGACTTGTTATTACCTTTTCTATGCTTTGAGTGTGTGTGTCTGGAAGAGGTGGTATTGCTGGTTTAATACTACTCATTAAAATTTATTTTCAAAAAGAAGTTCTGTTTATTCTCTAGTTTGAGTTCAGTTACTTGTGCATATTATAATAAAAGCAACTCACATCTTGAAATGTTCTCATAATATTATTTTTTTTCTATCCAAAACAGTTTCTACAGTTTCTATCTTGCATTTCATT